TTCCTTATGTCAAAAGGAAACTACCTAGAAAAGCTGGCTTAGTGCCCCGGAGGGTCCTTGAACACACTTGGTGTTTACGGGCAGTGTAACCGCAGCACGTTTGGTCAAGGGCCTCTCCCTGTGAACAGCCATTCACCTGGCCGGGCGGCCAACTCGCAGCGAATTTTCCAAAGCTAGTCCTACAGACCACCCGGAAAGATGGTGATAGAAAAGGGGCCTTTGAAAATGACCATTTCATAATATATACATATATCAAATCATTACGCGGTACTTTTAAAATGAATACAGCGTTATAAGCCAATTATATCTCAATAAAACTGGACTAAAATTTTTAAATAAAAATAAAAGAAAATGATACATTTTCAGGGCCAGGGAGGGGAAAAAAGCCAAGTATAAACAGAAAGGGATCAGATGACAAAAATGCAGAGAAATATCAATATATGGTGTCATGTGGCTTTAGACCAATTGAAGCAAAGCCAATTTAAATGATTAAAACATCATTCACTAGAACATTTCTAAATAAATTACGTTTTTATTTTCATACACAAATGGAAACATAAATGAGACTAACAACATGACGATTAGTAAAGGTTCCTGTGACCGCCTTCTGATGTGTCAGCCTGGGGGGGCTACAGCCCCCAGTTTTCAATCACACACTCACTGTGTTGCTATGGACGGATTCTGTAGATGTGAGTCAACTCCGTGGTCAGTTGACTTTAGTTAAGGGAGGATATCCTACGTAATCTGTGAGCCTGATGCGGCCAGTTGGAAGACCTGAGGTTTTCCTGAAGAAGACATTCCAGGCGGGGACGGCAGCTTCAGCCCATTCCAGAATTCCCAGTGGACTCGCCATCCCCACAATCCCATAGCCCAATTCCTTGCAATACATCTCCTGATATTTATCTCGTGCTGGTTCTGCTTCCCTGGTTGAACCCTGACCCACGCAGTTCTGAAAATGCTCATTGTCGTTAATACACGAGAATGAATTAGTAGTAGTACATCGTGCGTGTCTAAAAGCTAGTGCTACGCAGCGTCTGTTTGAGTGGTTTAACTCAAACTGTGTTTGAGTGCATTCTTGTTTACTGATGAACTTAAAGTCTCTCTCAGAGGGAGGGCTCAGGAGATACCTTGCTAAGCCCAAGTAAATTTTAAAATTCAATTTGAATTATTCTGAACAAATTCTGTATGGGTAGAGTCTTAAGTTTCAGAATGTTGAGGGGTGGGGAACCTTCCCTAGGATTTAAAGCACATATCACACATGCACACACACACACACGCACACAGACGCACACGCACGCATACACACACAGCTATTAGAAGGTACCTGATCCCCACGGACATTTTCATTCATTCAAATAGCAATGACAACCTGAGCATCTTTCACTTTGTCACCTTGGACAAGTCACACAACATCTCTGTATCTCCAGCCCCTCATCTTAAAATAGGGATACAGTGCTTTCCCTGTAGGGCCATTGGGATGATTAGTTCAGGTGGTATTTTGAAAAGCTTAGAAGAGTGTCCACAGGTGGTACACAACATGTATTTGTGGGCTTGGGAGGCTGGCAAGGACTTCACAGAGAAGGTGTGAAGGTGCTAGAAAGACTTGGATTAGGTACAGAGCACCAGGCACAATCTTGAATAGTGCAGAAAACCTGTTTGAGCGGAGCTCAGGGGCAGGTGTGAGGAAAGCGCGTTACATTGGCCCTAATTAAACCATGGATGGTTCTCGCCAGCAATCCGAGGAGGGGAGCTGAGTCCCAGATTACGGTCAAAGCCGAGTCCGGATTCTATGTCTAAAGCCCCATATTCAAGATGTCTTCAAAACAACATGGTATGTTCTCCTAAAGGATTTTACGATTAAACCAGCTTGCAAAACAGCATTAGGTAAGACTAACTGGTTTCCTTAAAGCAGGATTCCCCCAGTTAGGTTACTGGTTAACCTATGAATGTGCTGGCACGGAGGGGCCACGTGAAGCAGTCCCCACAGTGGGCGACCCAACCTCATCTCCCAGGAAGGCAGCTCTGCGGTGCGCACTTCTGCAGATGCCAGTTGTGGGAACTCCGTCTTCTGAGTTCTTGATGCTCTGGCATCTGGGGCCTCACTGACTTCCAGGGCTGGGCCATTCTTAACGATAGCAAACCACCCACCTGGGAGCTCACCTTTCCTACACAAACTGACGGAGCCAGAGCCCACGCACCCAGCCTAGCCCAGCCCCATGTGGCTCTGACACTCCAGGAGATGCCGCCTTCCTCTGCCCTCATCATCCCAGGGCCGGGTACTGGGCAGCTAGCGGGGGCCTCTGTGCCTCAGAGACCCCTGCAATTTTTCCAACGAGCCAGTTCCAAGCCGGCTTGTGCTGCCTTGCCCTCACTTTCCTGAGGGAACCACAATCAAGCTTGCTTTCCCTCCCATCCTTTGCTTCCTGACCTACCCCCTGCGGCCCTGTGTGGCACCGTGTGGCATGGCATTGTCCCTCCTCTTAGGAATATTAACAAAACACCTCCCCATAGGCAAGCGCTAACCTGTTGCTTTCACCGCGGCCTAAGTAATGAAACCTACATTTTAAAACATCTGTCTTGGCAGTGAGGGCTTTTAAAGATTTTAAGCCCAAGAGAAACACCATTATGTTATAGAAGAATTCATCTTAAGCATCACCGCTATCCCACAAGCCAAAGCGGCGTCAGAGCCCCAGGAAGCCCACAACTAGCCAGAACATCTGATTGAGAGACACAGAGCCATCTGGGGAGCCTGAACCCCCACCTATCTAGAAGTCTTGACAAACGTGATGAGCCTCTGAAGCACACAGCGTATCAAAGAGGGCCGACCCTTAAACCCAGCTGGGCACCCTGGGACCGTGGGCCAAACCCCGCAGCCACAGGAAGCGACCATCAGTCAGCCCACTGCAGGTTCTTCAAGTGTTTCGATAATCCTGGAGGTCTGTGGCATCAGGACTTATGACTCACCCAAACTTCTCAATTGGAGGTACCCAAGAATTGGGGAACTGTCTTTGAACACTTTGGCCTTATTATTATTACTTTTTTTTTTTTTTTTTGCATCTGCAACATAAAGGCGTTGAATCAGCTATTTTGTAAAGTAACCTTCCAGGTCTGAAATACTGTGATTCTCCATTACTCCACAGAGCTACTAAGACCAGCAAAGTTTATACCCCTATAAAATGGTGCTAAGCTACAAACAGGATTAATGTAAAATTTTCCCACCTCTATGGACTTGTTTTTCTTTTTTTTTTATACTAGGCCAGCTCTCCAAAGTGCACTGCTCTTCTGTGAGCTACAATCACCTCTACTATTTTTTGTAAGCCAATCAAAATAAATAGTTTACTTTCAAAAAGGAAATGTGTGTTTTTCCAAGAGCAGTGCCAACCTTCATTCCACACCTTGCCCCATCATTTAATCAACTCTGAGTTTTATCTACACTTGGAAAAGATATTAGGGAATTATGACTCATGGCCCCACCACAGAGCTCTTTTAGGTCAAGAGGACGCAGGCTGCGCCCCCTCCCCCAAGGGACGCACTTGGCAGGGGTCTGAATGGGAACTGCAGTGACCTTTGCTTGAAAGTACGGAAATGAATCATAGGGTTTGACCACAACTACTAGCTCTCTCTCTACACGAAGAAACAATGATAAAACTGATGGTGGCCCGATAAGCAAACTGGAGTCAAGAGTGGAAGGCGGAAATACATCAGCTTGGTTATCTTCTGAAGGGAGGACTTTGCACCTTGACGGAAGGTGCTTTGCTGCACTGCCCTGCAAATCAGCAGCCTGTCGTTTCTCATCAGGTTGGACCTCAGGCTCCACATATGTAAAATATCAGGGTTGGAACTGCTGATGTCAAATTAATACCTTCATTAGTCATTGAGTATGGAGCTCAGAGCTGGGTCCCTTGACCATGCTCTTTTCCAATAAGAAAAGTAGATACCCGGTTGTTGCAAATTGCACCAAAGCAACAAAGAAGTATGATCCTTGCTCAAAGAAGTATTTCTACTCCGGTGGGGAAAGGACGTATTGTTGGGAGTGTTAATCTTGCCTCAGGAAGCCAAAATTGGAGGGCACGATGGCGCAACTGGAAGGAGAAAGAGAAGAACAGAGAAAAAGCACCTGCCGTTTGTCCCAGCCAATGGATTATCAGTCATGAGAAAGATAAAAATGATAACAAAGTATAAAAGACGCGCTGCGCTCCGCAGCAGTGTACAGAAGTAAATGAAGGCAGCTCATTAGGCGCTGCGGACCGCGTATTTCCTATTTTCTGGAGACTTCAGTGCTGTGAAGACTGCCTCTGGGGAAGGGTTCGGCTGCTGCAGTCCAACAATAGATTTATTCTAACTCCTGTAGGGGCCGCTGTACATATCCATTCAATATACATTTATGGAACAGCTATGTATACATAACTGAACAGACCACTCAGTGTCCATAGAGATAAATGACTCTTGCTGTTAAGAAGTTTGCTATCAAGTGAAAGAAATGGCTAACGACAACTCGCTATAAGTAACGTGAAGCGTAAATGGAAAGAACAACGGAAAGCGATTCTTCCCAAGGTCCTTATGCCATGGATGAGATTTCGGCTCAGCTTTAAAGAATGGATAAGATTTTGGTAGGCAGATTGAGAGGAAAAGCATTCTGGAAAGATGGAACAGACGGCGAAGGCACTCCTGAAAATGGCTTCCAAAGCTCTTCCAAATCTGATCTCCCGCTAAATGTCCTGCTCATAATTATTTAGGCGGTGTCTTTAGTGGGGGAAGTCTCCAAACACACTCACTGCATCTTTACATCCTTTTTGGGCAGCGCCATAGACAAGGGAGCCCACTGCCTCTTCAGATAAGTGTGTCAGCACTTAGAGTCCAGCTTCATAAGCCATCACTCAGACCTTCGGGAAACTAGACACCATCCCACCACGTGTGCGCTTTACTGATCCAGGGAAGTTAGCACTTCGATTGCAAGCTTGAGGGGCCTGGGAGGGCTGTGTTTGAGCAGCTATACTGACCTGTGCAGCATGACCTGGATGAGCTGTCGCAAAGGTGACCGATCGCAGCACAGCCAGCTTCCTCCTGGAGGACTGCGGGTCCCAGGCCGGCCCACTGGGGAGCAGCTCTCAGTACAGGTCGCATCTAGGAATTAACAGAGAGCATCTTCCTAGTGAAATAAGATCATTTCGAGCGACATATGAACATAAACTTGAGGAAGGTTTTGGCTTTGCAGATTTTTTTTTTTTAACCGGAATAGCAACACTTTCATGTCCTCTGAATTGTTAATGTTCTCTTCTTTTTTTTTCAAAAACTCCGAAACAGTTGTTTCAAAGTATACTAAAGAGGTGTTAAAGATATAATCGGTTAACTGTGGCTATATCTGGAGGGAGGGATTATTGGGGTTGTTCCCCTTTTCCATTTTCTACATTTTGAATCGTTTGAATTTCTCACAGAGCAAATATGTTTTTCAGAGTGCACATATATCTTTTGCAATCAGGAAAAGTAATCTTCACAGCTTGGAAATGTCCTAAAGCATTGTTCCACGTAAATCAAGCTCTTTGAGTCTTTCAGGGAATGTGTATTACATGTGTATTTTTGCCGACACCTGATGCCATGGACTAGTAAGTGTTCATACACTATTAACTGAGTAAAATAAGAAGTTGGCGACGTTCTTCTGGGCACCAGGAACGCGGTAGAAAGCATCACTGCCTCATCATCGTTCCGTAGCTGAACTCCACCGCGTCTGCTCCGCCTGCCTCGTGCAGCCCCCGCCTGACCCCCGGTGGTGTCCGGCGCCCTCGCCACCTGGATGGTAAAGCATGTTTTCACCCTGGTCCGCTGCCATACACCGCGGAGTGCACCCCGTCCGAAGTGGAAGGAAACCCCATTTCAGGGACACAGCGCCACCACTGCCTGCTCCTCCTGGGGCGACACTTACCCGGCCAGGCTGAGTCACCGGCCGCTGAAGAGTGCCCCTCCGGAGCCCAGTGGCTTTAGGAAAAAGTTGGCTGAGCGCTAGCAAGTTGTGCTTTTATTCAAAACTCGGGATCACAAATAAGCTTAAGCCTGATTGGGAAATTATGTCAAGAGGAAAAAAGAAATGCTGGAAATCCCAGAAACGCTTTCTGGTAACTGAGACACAAATTCTTGCGGTCCTGCAGACAGACGCCTGCGGGCGCAGCGCTGCATGGTCCAACGCGAGGCCCCTGTTCAGTGCTCCCGGGGGGAGATCCGCCGCGGGATGCTCGGCCACGGCCACCCGGGCACCCTTACACCCACACCGGCGCGACCCATGCTGGGCCCAGGGGAGACACGTCAGCGTCGTGGGCTCTGGAATGTCCCCTGGCTTGCAGACCACTAAGTCAACCGGCAGCCTGGTCCAGAACAACCAGAATCCGTGGTGAGTGACTCAAGCCTCTGGGGGTTTCGTGTGAAAAACCAGAAACAGCCCTAAGGGCCTGGAGCTCTGGAGAAAAGAGGCATAATTGAGTGTTTACTGATGAAGGTTTACAGGATCACAGATGCTCCACGCCCCCAGGATCACAGACGCTCCACGCCCCTTTCACTGACAGGCTCCCACTGCCTCACCGTTCCATTAAAACACACACAGGATGCTGGACCTGGTCAGTGCATCTTTGTAGCCGGTGGTGTAGGTGTTTTAACTCTGAGCCAACGGACAGCCCGAAGCTAGGACAGAGGTGAGAGAGGACTGAGGGTGGGAGCAGGCATGATCCTGACACACTGAGGGGACCCCGGGCTGCTGTCCCCCCAGACAGCGCCCTGGGCAGTGGGTTGTCCTGTGCGTGGAGGCCCCAGGGCTGCAGGACTGCGGGAACCACTGATGACATGGAGGACAACGTGAAGAATGAATGAAACGTGGCCACTTGTTTTGTTTTTCTTCTCCCACCAGTAACTTACTGTGGTTCTTGCTAAAAGCTCATGTTTGACCAAGGACAGGAAATAGTTACTACACCAGTTGTATTTGTTCCTGCCCCAATGAATTTCAGAGCACGGGCTGTGAGAGAACCTTGACACAGGAAGGGTCTCCGTCCTGACACTCACCTCCACCCTGGGGACTCACTTTCCGTTTCCTGTTCTATTTTACTGGCGGCAATTCCTCGTCTTCACCCAGTGACTTCCTGTTTTCTCCATCCCTCCCTGGGTGAAAATAGACATATTTTATATTTGTGGATGAAACTTATTTGTACAAAAAAAACTTTCCCTTTGCCTCTAAGTTTTAAAATTATGAGCCAAATACTGTTAAAGGAAAGGTATTGCTGATATTGTCTTATGCTCAAGCCTGGTGCTGAAAGGTCAGCCTGCGTGCGTTTCAAGGTAATCAGAAGAAATTTCCAGAAAAAACAGTAGCAGCCAGTGCTTTCCTCATGAGACCTCCCCTGGACCATGGATGCTGAGCCCACTGTCTCTGAAAGACTATGGCAGAGCAGCCTGTCCACGGACGGAGGACCCCTTGTCCACGTCTCCACTACAGAGGGTGCCAAAACATGTATACACTTTTTAAGAAAGAAAAAAACTGTATTAAAATTGTAATACTCAATATATACTGATAACAAAAGATGAAGACAAGCCACGTGTACACATTCTTTTGACATCCCTGGTATTTCCCTTTTTCCTTCACCTTTGTCCATTCATGTACATTCATTCCCTCGTCAATCTTGGAAACCCCAAGACGTTCAGGTGCTGGAAACCCAAGAGGCATTGTTCTCCCTTGTCCTGTGTCATCACCACGTCGTGCCCAGTCTCTTCCCTTCAAGCCCAGTGGAGAAGACGCTGGGCTCCAGGTAAGACGCAGCCCCGCCTGGGTTTTGAGGAAGAAGAGAAGAAACAGGGAGGTGTAGGATTACTGATCCTCCCAGCAAGGTGAGTGCCATAGTCAGCTCGGGCTGCCATACCATGGGCTTAAATAGCAGACATTTATTTTCTAACAGATCTTTGGGGGCCAGAAGTCCCAGAGACAGGTGCCAGTGTTGGTCTCAGGTGCAACCTGTAGACTGCTGCTTTCTCTCTGGGTCCTCATGTGACCTTTCCTCAGGGTTCACGTGGAGAGAAAACTAGAGTCTCTTTTCTCCTGCTTGGAAGGCCACAGTCCTGTCAGATCAGGCCCTACCCCTAGGACCTCGGTTAATCTTCACTACCTCCCTAAAGGCCCTGTCTCCAAATCCAGTCCCATTGAGGGGTAGGGCTTCAACATATAGGTGGGTGGGTTGGGGGGGAACAACTGCATTCATAACCATGAATGAAGGGGCAAGGTGACAAGAGTTCAAGGGTGAGGTGATAGCTGACTGATGAAAATGACGCTGAGGTGACGACGATGATGGCTGTGGTGACAGTTTACAGACATTAAACAAGCAACAAGATTAAGAGAAAAAAATAGCATACATCTAGTCATATGTGATTGAGACCAGGAGTAATTATAATCATTTACTTAAAATCTGAGAGCAGCTTGAAAATGAAGGGTATAAAGTGCCCTTGCGCAGTTAAATCACACAACCGACACTACTCTTCATATGACTTTTTAAGTCCCACCACGGCATCTGATGAATTGAGTGAAATACTGAACGAATTGCTTGGAAGAGGAAATTGTCAGTAAAGGAAGCAGGGGAAAAAGGTAAGACAGTCTAATGTGGTGGTGTTGGCCTAAGCACTGCCTAACAGGGAGAGGAATACAGCCAGTGAAGTCTTACACCTCATTCATTCGCTCATGCATTCATTCCATAACACTGATTGACTGCTGGTGCCTGATGAATCAGACAAATGAAATCAGGTTGGCACTTGAGCAAGATGATTGGTTGCCCTGTAGACAAAGGGTGGGACTGGGGCAAGACCGGGAACAGGAAGGATTAAAGGCTGCACAGTAACCCTCGTCAGGAATAACGGCGGCCTGAACTGCCTGATCACTTAGGGAGAAATGGGCCAACTCAAGGGGTAGAAATTTGAGAGGTGGAATCAGTTCCTTTGTAAATATGATTGTTAGAATCAGGAAGAGAAACTCAAGCTGTCTACATCAAGGGTGATTTAAGATGGAGGTTATAAAAATGGTAGTTAAAATGAATGAGTACTTAGCATATGCCTTTATGCTCTTCATCTTTGTAGCAAGGCCAGGGGAGTCAGCAATGAAGCAGTTAGGAGGGTGCGTTCAAATCTTAGCTCTCCCTCACTAGCTGTGTGACCTTGGCAGAGCTCTTAACTTCTCTGTGCCTCAGTTTCCTTGACAGCTTCATAAGGATTACATGAGTTACCATATGTCCCTAACTTCGTGTACTTTTGCTTCTTCTCATCTAGCACATTTTTTCTTTGACCTTAAGATCAACGAATTCACCTCCTCAGAAAGCAGATATGCCAGACCACCGATACTATAATACATTATACTGTAACTCTGTTCCTTTTTAATCTGTGTCATCCCCAGGGCATAGGTCAGATTCTGGCACATTCTAAGACATTAATTGTGATGTAATTAGAGGTTAGCTAAACAACTGCCATTCAGTCACCTGCCATCACTTACGGGAGCTGTTTCTCGTGTCTTCCTAATAACCATCCTGGCAGGGCAGTTTAGAATATTACTACATAGACACCAGTTTAACTTTTTAAAGGGTATTGAATCATTTGGTATTATTTGCTTAGTATTTACACTTTGTTGCTTCGGCAGCAGCATCTATTATAGGTATTCTGTTTGTAAACAGACTGGGGGGCAAGGAAAGCCCTGAAAGTCTGGGATGGCCTCCACCTCCATGAATCCCTGTGGGAGATTTATTACTCCAACGATATTTGGAAGCACCCTCTTGCACTGTTACTAAATATGGATGTTTCAGGGTTTTCTCCCTAGAGATTAATAATTTACAGCATAATTAATTATATTTTCAAGTTGATTTTTAGTACTGTTTAAATGATCATGAAACCGAACCTGTCCTATTGATTTTTATTGAATTTGATGACATTGATAAGTTGCTTTGGGTTTCTTTCCCACCCAGACTTGCAACCTTTTCCCCATACATGGGGACCTTCCTGAGCCCATGCCGGGACCCCTCACCCAGCCCCGCCTGCTGTACAGGGTCAGTCATAATCCTCCCATTCTTCTCTGTCGTCTTGCTCACAGGGACTTAGAAGCTACATCTACTAGTAGT